GCCTTTGATTTTAGGCTGCAAAAGTAGATTTTCTCTACTTCACTCCAGTCAGACTATTATGTTGAGTAACGTGTTCAGTTCTGAGCACAGCATTTTCAGAGGAATATGAATAAGAATAGCTGCTCAGAAATGCAGAGCAGGTATACGAAGGAAGGAGCAGCTGAAGAAAACAGGTTTGTTCACACAGACTGAAGAACAGCTGACTTGAGGGAACAGAAAACTGTCTTCCTAAGTCATGACTGGTTGTGCTAAATGCCTGTAAGGTCCTTTCATTTCCTGAAGCTCTATGACTCTAGATTTCCAACGTCCTGTGGAACAAATGTTTTCTAAGAAGCATGGCATCTGGAATCAGAAAACAGATTATCACCACACTTCTCTGATGTCCTAGCTACATGGTCTTGGTTGGGCATTTACTTCACTTCTCTGAGCCTCAGTTTCTTGGTTGTTGTTATTGTTTTTTTCCCCCCCACATTTATTTAAACCTATTAAATACTGAAGAGTGGGTAAGCAAACACTCACATAGAGTCTACTAGATTAAAAAATACAACATGGCCCCAGTACTCTAGAAGCCCCCATTTCTCTCCTCTTCACAAACCCCTCCTTCCTCCAGAGGTAGCCACTACTCTGACTTGGTGATAATCAGTAATTTGCTTTTCTTTATAACTTTGCCACGTATGTTTTTGAACTTTAACTTTCAAAATTTAACTGAATGGAATCACATCATATATTCCTCTGCGACTTGCTTCTTTCACTCAGCATTTTATTTCTGGGCTTCACCCATGTTGAAGCACGTAGCTGTGTTCATTCATACCCACTGCTGGATAGCATTACATTGTGTGCCATTACATTAAAATGTATTTATCCAAGTTCACCACCTAGAAACATTTGGGTTGTTTCAAGGTTTTTGTTACCACGAACGTGGCTCTATGGACATTCTTGTGTTAAGTGTTCTGGTGCACACATGCAAAATCAGCTACAGGCGGATTAAGGTCCTAAATATGGAAGGCAAAACTATAAAATGTTTGCAAGAAAATTTAGGAAAATATGTGAATGCCTCTGGTTGGAAAGGATTTCTTAAACAAGACCCAGAAAGCACAAATTATTGAGAAAAATGTTAAAAATTGGTATATACCTAGAAGAAGGACTGCAGTAAGGTGTGCGGGTGTTTAGCTTCACCAACAATAATCCAAAGGGCTTGTAGCAATTTCCACTCCTGCCAGCAGTGGATGAGAGTCTCAGTTGCTTCACATTCTCGCCAAAGCCTGATTTTAAGAGAGGTGTCGTTTTTTGCAAATCT